GGCAATTTGAACAGCTCAAAGTGAACATGGGTTTCATAATATGCCAATTTGAACAACTCGAAGTGAACATGGGTTTCATAATATGCCAATTTGAACAACTTAAAATGTTGACATCTGTCGCTAGAAGTGACGAATCCACGGCGCCAGGGAGGATTTTTGTTGTAAAAGATGAGGAAACTATTGTATGTGTTTGTTTGTGTGTGTGTGGGGGGGGGTCCCTATGAGCTTCCGGTATTGTCATTTCAAACAATGTCTTACCTCTTAAAGGGACTCTATCTCTGGCTTACTATGGGGGTTGAATCACGTAGCCTTTTAATATGGAGGTTTGTTGCCACAAGGCGGGGATGGGGTGGGGTGGGGGGGGGTTTCGTAGTCGGAGTTTTCCTTTCTTTCAGATGAGCCACCAAGGTTGACAAGTCCCATCTCTTAGATGAGCCACCAAGTTTGACAAGTCCCATCTCTTAGATGAGCCACCAAGTTTGACAAGTCCCATCTCTTAGATGAGCCATCATCCAAGGTTGACGAACCCTATCTCTTAGATGAGCCACCATCCAAGGTTGACAAGCCCCATCTCTTAGATGAGCACCAAGGTTGACAAGTCCCATCTCTTAGATGAGCCATCATCCAAGGTTGACGAACCCTATCTCTTAGATGAGCCACCATCAAAGGTTGACAAGCCCCATCTCTTAGATGAGCCATCATCCAAGGTTGACAAGCCCCATCTCTTAGATGAGCACCAAGGTTGACAAGTCCCATCTCTTAGATGAGCCACCATCCAAGGTTGACAAGCCCCATCTCTTAGATGAGCACCAAGGTTGACAAGTCCCATCTCTTAGATGAGCCATCATCCAAGGTTGACGAACCCTATCTCTTAGATGAGCCACCATCCAAGGTTGACAAGTCCCATCTCTTAGATGAGCCATCATCCAAGGTTGACGAACCCTATCTCTTAGATGAGCCACCATCCAAGGTTGACAAGTCCCATCTCTTAGATGAGCCATCATCCAAGGTTGACGAACCCTATCTCTTAGATGAGCCACCATCCAAGGTTGACAAGTCCCATCTCTTAGATGAGCCATCATCCAAGGTTGACGAACCCTATCTCTTAGATGAGCCACCATCCAAGGTTGACAAGTCCCATCTCTTAGATGAGCCATCATCCAAGGTTGACGAACCCTATCTCTTAGATGAGCCACCATCCAAGGTTGACAAGTCCCATCTCTTAGATGAGCCATCATCCAAGGTTGACGAACCCTATCTCTTAGATGAGCCACCATCCAAGGTTGACAAGTCCCATCTCTTAGATGAGCCATCATCCAAGGTTGACGAACCCTATCTCTTAGATGAGCCACCATCCAAGGTTGACAAGTCCCATCTCTTAGATGAGCCATCATCCAAGGTTGACGAACCCTATCTCTTAGATGAGCCACCATCCAAGGTTGACAAGTCCCATCTCTTAGATGAGCCATCATCCAAGGTTGACGAACCCTATCTCTTAGATGAGCCACCATCCAAGGTTGACAAGTCCCATCTCTTAGATGAGCCATCATCCAAGGTTGACGAACCCTATCTCTTAGATGAGCCACCATCCAAGGTTGACAAGTCCCATCTCTTAGATGAGCCATCATCCAAGGTTGACGAACCCTATCTCTTAGATGAGCCACCATCCAAGGTTGACAAGTCCCATCTCTTAGATGAGCCATCATCCAAGGTTGACGAACCCTATCTCTTAGATGAGCCACCATCCAAGGTTGACAAGTCCCATCTCTTAGATGAACCATCATCCAAGGTTGACGAACCCTATCTCTTAGATGAGCCACCATCCAAGGTTGACAAGTCCCATCTCTTAGATGAGCCATCATCCAAGGTTGACGAACCCTATCTCTTAGATGAGCCACCATCCAAGGTTGACAAGTCCCATCTCTTAGATGAACCATCATCCAAGGTTGACGAACCCTATCTCTTAGATGAGCCACCATCCAAGGTTGACGAGCCCCATCTCTTAGATGAGCCACCATCCAAGGTTTACGAGCCCCATCTCTTAGATGAGCCACCATCCAAGGTTGACGAGCCCCATCTCTTAGATGAGCCACCATCCAAGGTTGACAAGCCCCATCTCTTAGATGAGCCACCATCCAAGGTTGACGAGCCCCATCTCTTAGATGAGCCACCATCCAAGGTTGACAAGCCCCATCTCTTAGATGAGCCACCATCCAAGGTTGACGAGCCCCATTTCCCGGGGTGTCCGATTGTTGTCGTTGCTTCTGTGCTGTTGATATTTCTTGGGGTTTTAACACCAGCAGACACATGAACACAAACACAGCCAGACACCCCAGCCAGACACAACAGCCAGACAGCCCAGCCAGACCCCCCAGACAGACACCCCATCCAGACAGCCCAGCCAGACAGCCCAGCCAGACAGCCCAGCAAGACAGCCCAGCCAGACACGCCAGCCAGACACGCCAGCCAGACAGCCCACCCAGACACCCCAGCCAGACACCTCAGCCAGACAGCCCAGCCAGACACCCCAGCCAGACACCCCAGCCAGACAGCCCAGCCAGACAGCCCAGCCAGACAGCCCAGCCAGACAGCCCAGCCAGACACCCCAGCCAGACACCCCAGCCAGACACCCCAGCCAGACACCCCAGCCAGACACCCCAGCCAGACACCCCAGCCAGACAGCCCAGCCAGGCACCCCAGCCAGACACCCCAGCCAGACAACCCAGCCAGACAGCCTATTTAATAGTAGCATGGTACCCACTTAACTGTCAGTGCACCCATTTAACAGCAGCACTGCATGCAATGAACTGTCTATGCACCTATTTATATTTACTGTTCGTTTCACAAATGACTCAACATGAATCTCCAGATTTATGTTCTCTTATTGAAGACAATGGCTAGTTGGGATAAAGAATCCTTCGGCCGCATGTTTCTTACAACTCAATACATATTAGGTCAACATGACCCGTAATTGAAACTAAGGGAGACAAACATCAAATTTGAAAAAAATAAAGCTAATGACTTTCAGAATTATCTACCTTTCATGGCTCGCGCGGATCTCGTCATGGTAACAACCTATGATAGGCCGATGGCTTATCTATCTTTTATCTATCGCGTCTTCCATTAAAGTCTAGAGAGCAGCTCATGATATCGTCTTCAACAAACGTCTTAAAATTATGGAAATTGGTTGAAATGTTTAATGTTTATGCTAAAGTCCTTCTACAAAGGACCTGTTCGGCCCAACAGTACATTTCTAGTCCACTGTTTATACTAGATGTCTCATCCCGTCATAACTGAGTCGATCTAGAAACTATAATTTCGAGCACACAATTATTTGCTTTAAAGTTACAACTGTGATTAGTTCTAGTCCCCCCCCTCTCTCTCTCTCTCTCTCTCTCTCTCTCTCTCTCTCTCTCTCTCTCTCTCTCTCTTTTCAATGTTTTAAATTGTTTTTTTTCTTATAATACAGAGCGGGGCTGGTTTTTTTTTTTTATTT